CTTACATATATTTTTGGTAGATTTTTTATAATTTGATAATTGAAAAGGACATTGGTTTTCCAATTAGTTGTATGATTTGTAAGGGAGAATAACAACAGCTTCTGGTTCAGTTTCTGTGTAATTAGTGTTAAGGCCGAGATGGCACATCTCTTAGCCGCCCTGGACGAATGACTCATTTGACACAGGTAACCATAGACGGATTTTGTGTGGGGGGGGGTTGCAGGGGGGTGCAACCCCCCCAATATTAGCTATAACCCCCCAAACAAAATGTCCACCCCTCCAAAAAAATTTTCAACCCCCCCAATATTCGGCATAATAAAAAATAATTAAATAGTCCACTCCAACGTGCAGAGTGTTGATGATACAAAATAAACATAGGAGTACACTCAAATAGAAAAAGACGCAATACTCTGAAACTAATTGCTCCTCGCTTGCATTCACTGGTTTATTGGACCAATTGTAAAGTTTTGAAACTCTATTATCTCCCCTGAATAGAGTTTGCAGTGCCTTGTCATGCAAATAGCTTGCTTGCAAAGAACGTTTGGAAATTTTACGAACATTATTTTTAGTTTTAATTCTTTTAGGAAATAGTCTTGCCTAGATTTAATCTTTACGTCTCAAATATTATTTACATCGGAGTTGCATCATAAATTGTACTCGGATTCAAACGACACAATGTCGATGATTTTATAAAAGTAAAAGCATATTGTGTATTGGCCTATTGGGTTTACACTTTTACAGCTTCATTTAACTTTAACTTTCTCAAGTCTCAACAGACAATCGGACAGGCCAAATCCATTGATATGACAACTTCAAAAAACGTTTTTTCGAAGCTAGAAATCATGATTTTTTTCAAATTTTTCCAGGAATACTTTGTTTTCAGCTCTCTAGACTCCCACTCGCGGCTCTAGTGCTCCACCCCTAGAATATAGACCTTACTGGGGTTTGGCGACACTTTGTGTTGCTCAGGGCCTTTTTTAACACACAAGCTGGGAGGGGGGGGGGCAAATGAGTCCCCCCTTGTGCCCCCCCCCCCACAAAATCACATTTTGCCGCCCCCCCAGGAAAAGTCCCTTTTCCCTAAAATTATACAAACAAACCAGCGAAGATTAACAAATACATAAACGGAAAGTAAGTTTTAGGCTTCATCCCTTGTCCTTGTTTAACAAAATCGATTTAAATTGTTACTTTTTTCTAAATTATTGTTAATAATTTTTTTTATTTTTTGGATGCTCAGAATGCAGGAAATAGCATTTCCGGGTTTCAAATTTCAAAAATTTTCTGGGGATTATCCCTCTAATAAGCCGATAAATTACAGTTAAAATTCTTTTTTACTTTTTGCACATTTTTTCCATCTTTTACTTCAAATACAAGTATAGTTAGCATAAATTTTAGAGCAAATTTGGATGCTCAGAATGCAGGAAATGGCATTTCCATGCTTCAAATTTCAAAAATTTTCTGGGGGAATACACCCCCACACACCTGACCATTGTTATCCCCCTCTAATAAGTAATGATAAATGATGGTTATTTTTTTTTAGTTTTTGTGCGTTTTTTTCTTTATTTATTTCAAATACAAGTATAGTTAGCATAAATTTTGGACCAAATTTGGATGCTCAGAATGCAGGAAATGACATTTCCGGGATTCAAATTTCAAAAATTTTCTGGGGTAGTACCTCAGATCCCCCCCCCCCATTCATGCGTGGTATATTGCCCACACATGTGGCCTTCAGCCATTGCTATCCCCCTCTAATATATTATCTCACGGAAAGGTCCCTTTCCCCCCCCCACGGGAAAATCCTTAAAAAAGGCCCTGGTGTTGCTTCAGTCACCTGCTCGTGGCTCACCCCCCTAAAATTTCTGGCACCACCCCAGTAAAAAATATGAAAATCCGCCTATGCTCATGGCAGCATCACGTAGCTAAAATCCGTTTCGAAAAATTATGTTAATTTATTAATTAAGAAAACCCAAAACAACCATGCAGTTTCAGGTGAATGGGGTTTTGGAAAGAATACTATTACACTGTATACTGTATTACTATTATTATTATTAGCATGACAAAATTACTGGATGCTGATTGGTTGAGAGGAGTACAATTAATGATTTTCCCAAAACAAACAAAATGTTGGAAACGTATTTTAAACACAAATGTGAAATGAAATTGCCGTGGAGGAACTAGATGAAAATATGAATGAAAGCACCAAATTTTGCTTGAACAAAAGAACTAAATGAAAATACAAACAAAAGCACCAAATTTTGGTTGAAAGTCTGGCAGGACTGGGCTTTGGCGAGAGAATATGATGTTGACATTGAGAAGTACGTATACAATTTTGTCATGCTAATAATAAACAAGTACTCGCCCCAGCGGCTCGTCCAATTTTGGCAAAATTTCCAAACATCACGAGTACTATTAATCCCTAATTGTATCCCCCATCGCATGATTACCTATACTTAGTGCAAAAAATTGAACTGTGAATTTTGTACATCTATTAGACCTATTTTACAAAAAATGCAACTAGAGGCCCTCCAGCGCAGCGCCGAAATCGCAGGGCCACAGGTTTGATTCCTGCCAGAAGGCCTATATTTGCACTTTTTGCAACTGCTCCTGGTTAGGTGTAATCAATGCATAAAATTCATACTCAAAATTTCCATGTACAATAT